GAAGTTAGCAGCTTCCGACTACAATTCCAGGATTACAAAACTGTCACCACCCAAAATTATATATATATATATATACATATATATATATATGTCAATTCTGTTGCACTCATGATCATCAAAGAACTATGGTTGCTGCAACTGGAGCCGACATGCATTACCAACACAGTGATTTCACTGTGAAGCTGGTTATTCCACAAAGGGGTAAACTGCAATATGATCGGAGCTTTTAAATTAGCACTAGGCGAATGTCGGGTACTTGAAATCCCGGATGAGCACTTAAATCTTTCATCAATCTGAAACTACTCTCCGTGTGATACCGCAAAGTTCCATCTTTCAAAAAGATTGCGGACCAAAATATCAAGTCGAGGAAACCCACCGACAACACACCCCTGGTCGCCCGTTTGACACGGGTTACAAATTATCCGCTGAGAACTCAACTAAAAGCAAAGTAAGTTGCAAGCTGATTGCCTTGATCTCGCCCTCTGCGCTAATCCGTTTCCCTTTGATTGAGAACAGATTTCAGATCATCGTGATATTTTGTGTGAATGCAACATAACTGTAGTTTCACTATACTGTTATATCCCAACAAGAGTTTTAGGCTAGATATCGAACGTAACCCTGTGGGATACTGTATAACGGCGGTCTTCGAAAAATTTTCCTCAATCATGAATTTTCGTACATAACATCTAAATCTACTGACTACGTATGACATATTTTTATTACACACCAGAGTGTGACGAACAGCAGACGGAGCGGACCACATAGAAGGACCTGTTGTTCAGTGGGGGTAGCAGAAAACCTGATCCCCGGGACTGGGGGTGGCGAAAAACACAAGGCCCCGCTGGGTCAGGTGTGGTACTGAACCGGGTGACAGCAACGTTGCCTACCACTCAAGTTGGATGGCGATGGCGGGACTCGAACCCCGGACCACAGGATCGAAAGCACGCCGGTGACAGCGACTAAACGACAGCGACACTATCACCCAGTTTGTCCCATGTTTACCATTTGCCATCTCCGCTTGAGCAGAAATTTCACTTGTTAATCACACCGAGAGTAGCGTTTCCATCACGAGACGGAAAAAAGGCGTCGTGTGAAGAACTGTACACCGTTGCAATCCAGAGAGCTACACAGGATGGCTTTTGATAAGCCAAAGATCTCATCATCATCATCATCATCATCATCATCATCACCATTGTAAAGCGTAATACAGTGAAGCGAATTTCACTGATCGCTGCCGAACTCATATTGCATATAAGGTAAGTGAGCATGTGTAAGGAGGATAGGGATTGGATTTACTTTTAGGGACGGGAAGAGAAAGCGAACCTCTATGGTCAAAACACAAGCCGAATATTTAATCACGCGTTAAAGGTCAAAGGGTAGAGGTCAGACAAAGTCCTGTCCTCTGGTCCTCCGGATTGGAGATTCGACTCGAGTTAGTGCTTCGGTCGGTGGTGGTGGAGGAATCGTCGATCCAAGTGAATGGGCCTTCACTTCGCTTCACGACCGGGATCACACTTATCCCACAATGGCTAGGGTAGTCGTTCCGAGATCAGTTTTTGAAAATGGGAAAGACCAGCAATACGCCCAACTGTGAAGGAATACGCTCTTGTGACCAAATGTTTAGTAAATAAGTAATAAAACTTACGAGGTTATCGCCAACCATCTTGAAAAGAGTAGGAGGAAGCCCGTCATGTCCTGATGCTCTTCCTCTCTTCAGAGCTTGAATGCAAGACTGGACTTCCGCCTCTGCCGGAGGGCCGCACGTCACTTTCCTCGGAGCTTCAGTTGCAGATGAAGCAATCTGGCAAGCGTCAGGTTAACTGAACTGTTCGCTGAAATGCCCCGCCCAGCGATCAGGCCGTCGTCCCCTACTGCAAATAGCTTGTTTCATTTTACCGCAGGTTGTTTCACTAACTGGGGTTCGCCGATTTCCCGCATCGCGCATCAATCGGAAGTCTTTGACTATTCCCTGTTGCAGCTGCTATTTTCATTTCGCTAGTTTTTGTTACCTACTAGTTCACGTAGTCCTTCTTGAGCTGATGTTGCAGATGCCATCTAACCCTGCTTTGATCCTGGCCGGTCAGAACTTGTTTTTTTTTCTCCATCAGGGCTACTGGCTCATGAGATATCCAATGTTTCGGATGGGTTTGAGGCTCAGACCCACAAGTAACATTCGCTGCGGAATGCATCGCTTGCTTCATCTGATCCAGCTGCTCATTTATATCATCACGTTGAAGCACGCTGAGCTCACACACTAGCTCTGCCTCATAGCGTGCACGAACTGCTGGGAAAGACAAGCGGTAACGAGTTAAGTGAGCTTGCTGGATTAGTCTGCTAGCAGTGGGTCAGAGGGTGAACTGCATCAAAACTAATGCGTGATCAGACTCGACGGAGGTGGTTCAATAGGACCGGCGATTTTGCGCTGAACCACGGTAGCTTAATGTTGTGGTCGATTTGAGTTGGTGCGCTAGTTGAGCTGGGCTGCCATGTTGACGTCCGTTAAGAGCCGTTACTGGGCATGAGCAGATGGTTTTCTGTGCAGAAATGAAGAAGTCGGTCGGCAGGTTGGCAGGGAAGAGCACACCAATCACCTAGACAAGCTTACGATGTGTTAAGTTTGCCAACTTTTACGTGAAATATACCTGCGAGTACGTATTGCGTATGCCCAACTGTTGTCTGCCGCGTTTTATTCGCTGTAACCACACCAGGCTGGGGGGAACCGCGTGGAGGTGAACATATGACATAAAGACGAGGCATGACGAAATGCAAAGAGCTTTTAGATAGAATAAGTGCCTCGCGTCTTCCAAACTGGGGTCTGAAAGACTCTGCTAATGGTTGGTTGCAGACATTAAAGGAAGGTGAACTAATAGTGGCCCACCAACCCGGCTATAGCCCCGGATGTCGGTATTCATTCTCGCAATATGGTGGGAAAAGACCTTCGCCACGAGAAGGCAGCGAGGCTATTTGAGACGCTTGGCCGCATGGGAGCATTTCGCGAGGTGCAAGGGAATGCTGACCAGCCGCAACCCTAGACACCCAACACTTCCAACTTAATCTCCTATATCTCCTGTCTCCCTTTGTTGATGTCCGCTAGAGTGTGAGGGACAGATTTCGCTGTAGTGGGCACGGTATCTGCGGCTACCAGATAAGCACCTAAGGTTTTATCACCGGTGGTGGCCCGGTTGTCTCAGTCCTCACTGGACGTTCACGACTGGGGTGTTTCTGAAAATAGACAGATGAGACTCAGCGGTCCAGGCCTGGGCCAAGCTGATACGGGTTAGTGGGTAGTATGAAGGACCCCGATCCTGAGCAGTGACACCTGGCAGAATTAACGCAAAATGTTGGTACCTGTCGGATTTATAGAAAATACCTAACAGAAGACACTTGTCTCATGCATACATCCACATCCGCAAACATAAAACCTTACTGGCTAGTGTGTTTTCTTAGCTCCTTACTTCTCAGTAGGCCGCTTCTGGGTAGACGGTTCTCCAACACTCAGCCAAGGCGGTCTTGAATGCCACTACAGTGCTACATCTGACCACGTGTTCTGGTATTCTATTCCATAGTGGGATCACCCTGTTGATGAAGTACCTTGCTCGGAGTTGCAGCCTACTGTATTTATGCTGGAGTCTGAAGCTATGCCCCCTGATGCCACTTGCCGGGATCGCAGAGAATAGTTCCTCACTTATGATACCCGACAAACCGTTACTTATTTTGAACGCTTCAATTAAATCACCCCTCAGGCGTCTGCGTCGGAGGGAAACCAAGTTCA